CTGCTAGAAATTTGAGGTTTCCAAACTCTTCTTACCCCATTTAGAAATAAGGGTAATCGGGTAATGGATCTTGAAAGCATCACCAATATTATGAGGCCCCAAAACAGGCATTAAAATTAGCAAATCATTCCTGTACCTTCACTGCATATTAATTTTCATTTGGTTCATTTGATTATATACATCTATTTATTTTCTGTGGAAATGTAGCTTTTTGGTCAATCCGACTGTTCTACTGTCTGGCTTTTATTATTCCACAATAAAATAAGTGAGTACCCACTGTGTGCCCTCCAGAGGTTTGCTTTTGTATGTTGGGAAAAGATAAGGATGAGACAGTTTGCAAGCTATAGAGTAAGCTGGGCAGTGTCTGATTCTCACTGACGTTAGATGGGCCTTTGTTGTTCACAGATCAGGAAAAGAAGACCTACACCAGCATCACTTGTGATTCTCAATGAACATAACCCTCCAGGTAAAGAAGCATGATGTCTTTCACACTGATGGAACAGAATAGAAATGTTTGAAGAACATCACAGAGCATGTCATCGCCAAGGTTTCAATTCAAAATTTCAGTTAGCAATACTCTAATAAGCTAATCCATAAAATGAATCATAAATAAAATCAGAAACAAGGATTATAGAAACTGTCTCAGCCAGCAGTCTTCTTTTCCTCCAGGATGAAAATTTCAGTTAGCAATACTCTAATAAGCTAATCCATAAAATGAATCATAAACAAAATCAGAAACAAGGATTATAGAAACTGTCTCAGCCAGCAGTCTTCTTTTCCTCCAGGATGATGCACTGGTGATGATATGCTATGAATGGTTTGTTAGTGTTGTCTGTCATGTGTTCGGGTGTTTGTGTGGAATCTGGTTCAGTGCTTATTCATGAGGCTGATGGAAAGTTGTTTAATTAGATTTCAAAGCTCAAATTACAGCCCTAGAAATGCTTATATCTTTACAGAGTAGGTTTTTTATTTATGAAAGGTTGTCATGGGGTGGGCAATGAGCCAGCATTGGCTAGAGCTTTGCTGCTTATGTCATCTCTGAATAATGCAATTGACAAGTAACCAGATCAATTTTCAGCACTGCCCATTTAAGAGCCATTCTGGATGGTTGCATCCATTTGTTGAGGTTTTATTTTCCATTTCCTGTAGAAATTAAAACTGCATTATTATTCCTGATAAAGGACTATGATCTGCAATACTCAAACATTATTTACTTATTGAGAAGGGTGATTTTAATCTCACACTTAAGTGCTGCCTCTAGAAATACAAGTAGGACAGGAAAGGTCATAGCATTAATTTGTAACCAGGCAGAACTTGGTGTTGGTTTTTTTGCAAGTAGAAACAATAAGGGTGAACAAAAATAATTTGAACAGTGGAAACATAATACATCAATTATAGGTTGTAGTGAGTGATCCAATTTAAGAATACCAGGGTAAAATAGTCCTTGACTTTTTCAGATTCCTTTCTAATTACAGAAACACATGAAAAGAAAGTAAAATTCTAATAGAATATTCATTACTGGTCCCAAATACAAAAACATTTTCAGCCAATGGTAAACAAGTAAGCTAATTTACTCCTATTGAATACAAGGAATTATGATTAGATCCTACATCTTTAAAGTGCTACAGCATGTTAAAATCACTTTCAAATATCTTATCTCAGCAAATGGTAACATACTGGTTGAATAACTATTGCAAATAGCATGTACTTACAGTCTACAAAGAAATACAAGTAAATAAACATAATGATGAAATCTTCTTAGTCTGTAGGTAATTTTATAGCAATTTTCCATCACTGCCTTGCTCACAGTGGCAGACATTTCCACAATATTCTAGAACTTTTCTTCTTATGCCAACCTTGAAGATGGTGCCCAACTTGATTTCTAGATATCTTCTACGAGAGAGCAGCTTACAGAGTTCTATAGTCATTGTTACTGTTTGAGTATAATGAAGTCATGTAAGTGACCTTGTGGCTCTCATTTGAATCCCCTAAATAGTTGCTACTGCTTCTTGAGTGTCAAATATGTGCTATTTTACAGATGAGAAAACTGTGTATTAGAGAGGTGAAGTAATTTATTCAAAGTTATTGCACTAGAAGTGACAGATTCCAGAGACAAACTCAGATAATTCTGATTCTAAAGCCCATGCATTTCCTACAGCATGATGCTGGCCCTGAAAATTTCAGCTTGCCATGGCAAAGGCTCTGTTTAAACATTCTGGCCCTATAAGCAAGAAAACACAAACTTTAAACAAATCCTTTCTCTGAGCCACTGCGTTTGGTAGATTAGGAATTGTATTTAAATGTCCCTGGAACCAGATTTAGTTTTTCTCTAGAAACTTTTTTCTTACCAGACATCCCAATCACTAGATGGCATTGCTATATTTCTCTAATTGATCTTATTCATCTCTTTGTTTGTAAGTTCAATTGGAGAGAAATTAGAAGGAAATAGCATCTCACAGAGAATTAAGTCATCTTATTAATATCAACTTCCTGCATCTTCATTCTCCTTTATGGAAACAAAAATCGTTTACAAGAGACTGCTCAGCCTTTGGTTATGTGTAGCACTTGCATCAGGTATGGTAACCAGTGATTTTGGACTAGTGATGAGCTCTTGCAGCAAAAACTCTGAAAGCTTATAGTTTTCCCATAAAAATGATCTAGCACCATTTTTACTGGGAAAATAACTCTAAAAATCCAAAGAACAAACTAACAGCAACAAAAGAACACTAAAGCAAACCAAACTTGAATAGTGGTCTTTATTAGCCATGTAGTCTTGGGTAAGGGACGTCTCCAGTCTTAAATTTGTCATCTATAAAATAGGAATTAAAATATCCATTCTTTCTACCTCATAGGGCTGTCGTAATGATCAAAAGAATTAAAATGAACATGCCTTAAAAACTGCAAAGTTCAACAAATATTAGGTATCATTAACTGATGTATTATGGGATACAAACTTTGCATGCAATATTTAAGAGTTAAGATATATTATAACAAGAAGAACAGCATATTCATGATCTCATCTGTACTGAATTCTGCCCTACACAGCAATTCTTTATGTTCAAACATTATGTGAACACCCTCTATCAAATAAAACAAAACAAATAATAACAGCAACAACAAAAAACCTCAAAAGTGTTAAATGACCTTTTCTAAGCAATTGTTTCTTCTGGCCCTCAAAAGCAAAGTGTTCTTTGACAAAAATTAGGTGTAGCTTTAAATCCTGGTAAAACTAAACAAATCTCTTCAATTCACTGAAATTGTCCAGGAAATAACTGGGTGTTA